GGAAAGCAAATAAATATATTCACTGATCAATGGGCAACGGGTTGTTTGGCCAAACTTCAACCCGCTTCACAAGTGCTTCTTTCTGTTTTAGAACTTCGCATCTCATCCAGGGACATACGTGTTTATTATTATTATCAAAATGACGCGTCTCCATTGTTGACGTCACAGATGACTTCCATCGCGGTTTAGACCTGCATTCATTCGATTCTTCTTCCGGCAAGCAAATAAATTTATTCACTGATCAATGGGCAACAGGTGTTTGGCCAAACTTCACCCGCTTCACAAGTGCTTCTTTCTGTTTTAGAACTTCGCTTCTCATCTAGGGACATACGTCTGTGCCATGTTACTGTATTCAACAGTCGTCATGAATGTCATATATCCCTGTTTCATACATTTTACTCACAATACCTCCATAGAACGTTATATGCTGCACAAATGTGAACCCATGAAATGTTGTACCAGATATGACCGTAAATATTAGAAAAATAACTATCAGAAGCGATTGTCCATGGACTATATATCTTATCCAGACAAGAACAACAACAGAGTATAGTAAACGTTGTCTCTTATTCCTGCTACGCTCATTCCGATCGTTCAGTGCAATACAAAGTACCTCTATTTTATGAAAACGCCAGTATTGGAGAATCAGCTTGCTAGGCAGAGGTACCAATATGCACAACCAACCCTTACAACACAAGATCTGAGTAAAAAAAACGTCAGTTTATGAGTCAACCACATAATTAGTCTTCTCTAGAATATACACAAATAACTTAATTAAGCACCCACTGTATTTTTCCAATGATAGGCTTTCACAACTAGTTTTCATAAAAAAAGACAAAGTCATTGGAATCCATGTTGAACTTATTATGATAATTGTTCATCTTAAAAAATACACTTATCTTCATACATAAACCATGTATGTAGAAGTATGGCCCTGGGTGCCGTTCCACTAACCGATCTTAGCCCTACGCCAATCGTAAACACCTAAAATCCCAATCTTAGCGTGACGTTAAGATTGGGATACCGTTCCACTAACCAATCGTACCCAAGTCAATCCTAAAGTTAAGATCCAAAGTCTAAGTTTCTCATGACCAACTCAGGATCGCTAAAATCAATCGTAGAGAAACCAAAATGGTGGCTTTCATATTCTATGTGAAGAAGAAGAGCGACCATTTCACTGTGAGCGTCCCCTAGAACCCCCGCGAAATGAATGTTTATTTCTGTGATGTAAACAAACACTGCACTGAAGCCTTACAAATGTGAGGCCAGTCCGACCACTGTCGTCATGGGAACACAGCCGAGGGAGTCGGTGTAATACATTTGTACAACAATATTGCAACGTCATGGTTAAGCATAGGGACGGGTCTTGAAGTGAACAATGTTCTGAAACAAAAAGATACAAATATGTTTGATTATGTGCGCTAATTTGGTGGAGGGTTTCAAGACCACTTACAGATTCTAGATACTTTAAAGAGGATGCCTCGTCACGCCTTGTTTATTCTGATCGACAAGGTTCAGCCACATATTATGCCTGATACCCAGCATTCACACGCACTTGCACCTGAAACCAAGGTGCTCACTACTAATATTTTTTTCTTGAGGTTTTTCTTTCCACGTTTTCACTTGGTTCCAAAAAACTACTTCCTTCGTCTGCTAGACTATGCAAAGGAGAATACTCGTGCCTCGCATTTCTCTGTCTCTCGCACGAAAGAGTCTCGATCTAAGCTGATCGGATTGTAAGATCGGCACCGGCTACTATCGGTTAGTGGAACGGGTGTAACTTTTAGCTAAGACGATTGTAAAATTGGCGTAACTTGCTAAGATTGATCTTAGGTAAGATGGGTTAGTGGAACGGCACCCTGGAATGTTGGATGTTGAATTTATTGGTGAATGTGAACATTCAAAATGTCCTTTTGCATGCCTTACACGATTCAAGGTCAATACCGAGTGTAACCTCTATGTGATTGTATGACAGACAGCACTCTCCTCATACCCGCTGTCAGCCTCCAGATCCCATGAAGGGGCAGTCTACGCCCATTCCTCGTGTAAAAGCAGCTTCCAGTTGGGCCAGGTTCTGTACAGGAGGATCCCTTGTTGCACACGACGACCAATCATGTCCCGATATTCTCTAGAAGGTTAATATCGGGGCTCATTCAATCGTGAGATATGTCAGCGGGTGCATACTAAGTTCTTTCAGTATATATATACAATCTAGCTTATAGCATGTTAGAATCATGTATAGAAGTGCATATACGCCAGAAAGGGCAATGATATAAACATGTTACACAAGATACTATAGTCACGATAAATATCAAGATACACTATCTAATACAGCACTATAATACTGATAGAGTTGAGTTGAATTGGGTTTTGCGTCACATCGGCATTATTCCAGCCATATAGTGACGAGAACAAGTTTGCATTAATAAACATTGTAGAAGTGCATACTCGGAATGAGTTTTATTTCAAAACATATATTCATTACATTGTCATTTAAAAGCAGAAAATAATATTTGCAACGCGTTCTCCTTAAAGTTTGGTTTAGCGCTAGTGAGTTTAGTTTCGCTCTTAGCAATATTCCAGCAATATCACGACGGGGCCTTTGGCGTGACGAGCGAACGCGTTAACCACTAGGCTACCCCACCGCCCCGGTTTAGCGCTAAAGACCCATCGATGCAAAGAGGTGCGAGATTTAGCCATTATTCCTTTGTTGCATCTAACACAAGCGAACACATATTGTTCTATTTTTAGATTACTCAGTGATTTAGAAATTTATGTCATTTATATAACATATGATGATCAAAACATTTGTAGGTGATACCACTCAACCAAAAACATTCAGTTGTGGCTTTGAAATTTCGGGTCACTCAGAACTAAATTCGAATTCCTTCCCTAACACACAAAAGAAGAAATGCGTGGTCCTTACCTAATACCTGTCAGTCAAGACGTGATGAGGTAATTTTACGACGATGTCGTATTGGCCACAGTCGGATTACTCATGACTATCTGCTGAAACGGATGGGGATGGGACACCCATAAATAATCGAGTCTGGACCTGACAATCCAGTGATCAACAGCATAAGCATCGATCTGCGTAACTGGGAACCGATAACATGTGTCAACCAAGCCAGTGAGCCTGACCACCCGATCCCGTTAGTCGCCTCTTACGACAAGCATGGGTTACTGAAGGTTCATTCTAACCCGGACTTTCACGGGTAGTTTGGGAGGAGAACGGAGAATTAACAGAGAAACGTACACTAACAGTTTTAAGTGATCTACTAGATGGAGTAATCGCAGTAGAACAAGGAATCTATTCTGTGATATGTTTTCAACACAACACAACTTCCAGACGGAAATATTCCCACACTTATTTTCTTCCATAGACACTTGCATGTGATCATGTGATCAAGAAATACAACGTTCCCGCATTTCCAGAACTCTGCTTGTCTAGACAAGATATACATTATATATAATCACGTAGGATGAAATCGTATGTAGACTCCCTGCGAAATATAAAAGCAATTATCCTTTACAGTGTGTATATGATTATATACACATAGTAAAGATATACACATAGTAAAGATATACACATAGTAAAGATATACACATAGTAAATCTAAACCTGGCTGTATGTATGGGTTTGTGACAAGTCCATACACTGTTATGCTCTATGTCTATGTGGATGAAATACTGCTAATGCTATCCATATTTGGAAGTGCTGTCAACTTTAACCCTCATTAGCATCCATACTAGCGATGTTTAGCGATGGTGTACTGATTGCCGAGACACCCCGTGTTTACTTCCATATCAAGCAGTGGCAGCCACGCTCCTTATACGGACAATAACAATATGAGGGGTCGTATATCAACTAAAGTAGCGTTTATTTAGCGTGATCATCAGCGTTTTATTTTTGAAACCTTGATTTTCTGACATATTTCTGAATATATTCTAAAATGATGAGCTACTTTGTCGACATCGGAAGGCAAAACGTGTAACTGGCTTACGTCACAGATTACAAATAGTCAGTGGTTTCTTTGAAGGTGTCCTGTGTCGTCAAGGACCACAGTACCAAGGGAAGTAACTCTCATATCGTTCATGTGCAGACTGTGTCAGTTGCTATTTGCGTCATTATTGCGGTCCGAGTAGAGTTTTCATATTACCAAGTCAAAATTTCTACATAACTATATTCTCATATTCAAAGTTTCCGGAAAGCCGTGAAAGCGTTTAAACAATGAAACACAGGATATTAACGCCCACTTACACTTATGGTGAATTTTGTCCCCACATCAAGTTTGACATTTGAATGTACATGTATCATGTTTGGCTTCTATGTTTACAAATAGGACAAATGAACATTGACGTTGTTTATTACGGTAGTGTGCGAAACAGCACTAATAGTTGTTTTAAAACATTTATAACACAATTTAGGAAACTCAGACAGATGTAATACATACGATAGAATCTTTCATAAATTTTTTAAATTATTTACGTGAGTTTCAATGTTGTGATTTTCCATTTCATAATTCAATTAGAATATTTCAAATTTATGTTATCATTGCAGTGCACTCGATCTGTACAAGGAGCTCAAATTGTGATTCCTGAAAATATTTACACATTAAAATAGAGAATTAATAACAAACAACACGAGTTAGCTGAATATTCCATGTCAACATGCAAACACTGACATGTGATGTTGCAAAATTCAGTTCAACTATCGATACGCAAAAGTCTATCATCATCTTGAGTGACTAACGTGTTATGACCAATATAGGTCAGGGTGATATTTACCTATTTACCTATATATATAGTATCTCACTGTCTACACACTGTCGGCGATATGCGACGCCCTGCTACCTGGGACTAATCACATCTATTTATAGATCAGGATTCACCTGTTTTCTTGGAAGTTGGGCGACTTCTATATTTATCGGGGATTTCCTTCCATACAAGGAGAAAAACATGAATAATCGATATGAGAATTCCAGGAAACAGGTCAGTACCCGTGTATAAATACCCAGCAGTTTATAGTGGAGGAATCAAAGACATCGAGAACTAGAAACAGTCAAGTTACCACAGGTAGGTGAAACGTAACGTTATTTGTTATACACTGAAATTAAGATTATTGGAATCGGAATAATTGTAGCAAACTCCTACACTTACAGCGTGCGAATGTGATTTCTCTTGTTGGGTCAGTTAGTGAGTGTAATATGCCAGCTTTATCACTCGTTGGCGTTAATTAAACGAGTGTTTGACAGTAACGGTACACTCAAGTGTCAGATGGTATGTAGTTAGCTATGAGAGACTACCTGACACATTATATCGGTATATAATGAATGTATTCAACTCAACGTTTAATACTAATCCGGTTTTCAGATATCGCAAAAACATTTACAATAATATACCGACAGATAGCATGCCTTCAACTTTTAGACTTTAGAAATCATTTTGTGATATCATATTATGAGGATATTGGTTACGGTATACTTGACAATAATGCATGCCGCGTCCTCTAATAAACTGCTGTTGTTTCGGTCTCAGGATAATGCTAGTTACTCGATCACTATATTTCAGAAGTTCACCAAGATAAACAGTACAACCATCAATACATCATGTCTGAGTACGATACAGATATTGCTGCTGTTGTCATTGACAACGGATCTGGGATGTGTAAAGCCGGCTTTGCTGGGGATGACGCCCCACGTGCTGTGTTTCCAGCCATCACTGGTAGACCCAAGTACGACGTGAGTAGATAGTGTCGTCATTTAATAAATAAAGGTTTCACTACATCCTTGTATCGTTAGCTCCGACAAGATTAGGGTTTGACGTGATAGTAAATATGAATATTTGCTAATGTAACAAAACAGATGGTTAAGTCGCAATAAGTACAACAGTTATTTATATTTTTGTAATACGAGTTCATTATTTGTGACTGACGTTCATTTAGAATGTTAAACGTTCGCAGCTAGGTGGTATGAATTACTATTACTAAATGGTCCTCATCCACTTCAATCCCTCCTACAGGTCTACATGGCCGGGATGGGAACCAAGGACTGCTACATCGGGGACGAGGCACAGAGTAAGAGAGGTATCCTCAGTCTGAAATATCCCGTTGAGAACGGCATCGTCAACAACTGGGACGACATGGAACGTGTGTGGCACCACACCTACTACAACGAGCTGAGAGTGGCACCCGAGGAACACCCAGTACTTCTGACGGAGGCACCACTCAACCCCAAGTCTAACAGAGAGAAGATGGTGCAGGTAGGGGTCACGTTGTTACAATGACCAGACAAGGGGGAGGTCTCACTGTTAAATCATATACATTATACAAATTATAAACTGGCATCAAACATGTAAACATTTTTACCATTGTGGAGATTTAAGGGCACACTTCTTCTCCTACCGATCAGCAAAATAATACATTCTCCAAAATTTGAACAGTCTAATGCAGTTCCTGTATTGACAATGATTCACATGGCTGTCCATGAGTTACCGTCCTTTGACAGTTGTTCTTGATGTCAACCACTTGTTTAACTGGACTCGATTTTGAACAGGCTCCGTGATGCAGCTGGAATATTGCTGACAGCGGCATATAACAACATTCACTGGGAATATGTTCATGGTTGCATGTTACTAAATGAGGCGACGTGTTTGATGTGTTTCAATCAAGCTGAAATTGTACATCTTTTTAAAACAGAAGAATTGTAGCATATAGGAAATGTTTACACATGGGGTACCCTTAAATTATATCTTAGTGTGACTCATGCTTGTTTCCTCACTACAGATCATGTTTGAGACATTCAACACTCCCGCCTTCTATGTGAGCATCCAGGCGGTGTTGTCGCTGTACGCCTCGGGGAGAACCACTGGCGTCGTCCTCGACTCGGGAGATGGCGTCTCGCACGTCGTGCCCATATATGAAGGTGAGCACAAATCCGGGTATTTCAAAATAGACTTCAAAGTGTTATTTCATATTCTCAAGGTTTGAAGTTCCACATAACATGTTTTCTGTCAGTGACACGATACTTATTGTATAACCTAATTTGTGATTATCTCAGGCTACGCCCTGCCCCACGCTGTTCAGAGAATGGACCTGGCTGGCCGTCACCTGACCTCCTACCTTAGCAGGATTCTACACGAGAGAGGATACAACTTTACTACATCATGTGAGTCGTCACACATGGCTTCATATTACTTTATATTCCATACGTTACCTTACCATGATGACTCACATTTACGATAGTTTTCGTCAAACTGTGATAATCACTCAGTTATTCTTTGAGCAAACCTTTAGGGACAACTCTTTTAACAGTTAATAATCGCGCAACTCTTTTCTTTTTGAGTAATGTATGATTCTTCGGTTTAGATAAGCTGAAATTGAGCCAGAAGGCCATTTCAATATTTATTTTATTTTCAAAGTAATAATTTCTGTGTGAATTGTAAATCTCAAAAGCATCGTTTTGTATCATCTCTGTCAGCCTTCATGACCGAATTGTTTCGGTCGCGGAATAGTGATCAATCTGCACTGTATAAGATCCATATGTTTATAGCTATATTCATCAATAACACTTTCCCATACACTTATTTTGCACGTGTATCGTGTTTGTGACAAGTTGAAATGTCGTGTTTGCAGCTGAGAAGGAGATAGTGCGAGACATCAAGGAGAAGCTCTGCTATGTTCCCATGGACTTCGAGTCAGAGATGGTGTCAGCTACACAGTCCAGCGCCATTGAGAAAGGATACGAGCTGCCGGACGGGTCTGTGATAACTATCGGCAATGAGAGGTTCCGAGCTCCGGAGTGTCTGTTCCAGCCGAGCTTCACGGGTAAGTGTTACAGGATGATGGGTAATCCAGTTCTAACGGAAATGTTTTCATTTTCTGTTTTACAGTAGACATATATAGTGATGGAATCTTTATGAACACTGGCGATAACCGATCGCGTTCAGTGATAAACATGTATACTTGATGCTGGTCCTTGATGTATAATAAACAGTAGTATATAATCACAACACTTTCTCTCAACCATGTGTTCTCCCTCCAGGTATGGAGAGTACAGGCATCCACGAGATGGTCAACAGCTCGGTGATGAACTGTGACATTGACATCAGGAAGGATCTGTACAGCAACGTGGTTCTGTCAGGAGGATCAACAATGTATCCAGGTGAGCTCTTGCTGTAGCTGCCAAGGCAATGGCCGTGTCTGGGATTAGACAGGGTTATTCATGGACAAAATGCACTGTAATCGATTCTGTAGCATTTCACCCCTTTGCATTGTAAATTGTTCTCATTCGTGATTGTCACATTTTGTGCAAATAATAACGCTGTTATTTTACAGGTCTGGCAGACCGTATGGCGAAGGAACTGAGCGCCATCGTACAAATCTACAATCAAGGTCAAGGTTATTTCTCCACCTGAGCGGAAGTACTCGGTGTGGATCGGCGGCTCCATCTTGGCCTCGCTTTCAACCTTTCAACAGCAGTGGATCTCCAAGCTATAGGGAGTATGATGAATCTGGACCAAGCATTGTTCACAGGAAATGTTTCTGAGCGCCATATCATGACAGAAGGTTGACAACGAGGGGTGAAGTTATAAGCCTTTCAATTTGAATGAGGTGTCCTTCCCAACGTCTGAAATTTCAACCGTAACAGCAATGTCTTCACGTTGCAGAAGTGAACGCTAGAACCATACAACATGTTAACAGAGAATATTACACACAGAAGTTGTTATTTGGACTTGAAGTTCTCGCACTGCGTTATCGGTGGATTGTATTATTTGTTATGTTGGTAGAGAACATCGTGCAATATCATTAATGATCTCAATCATTACTGTGCCTTATTAAAAGGCGTCACGTTTTACATGATTCGGAAAGGGCTCTGATTTTATCAAACATTGTGTATATATCCATGTACATGATTCCATCTGTATATACCATATATTTATCGATTCATCTGTACAACATATCACATATACACCAGTCCATGTGTACATATCACATGAATTCATCTGTACATATTACTCATCTATCAACAATGTTTATAGGTTATGTCACTTAAATAAATGTTTCAGTCTGATTTGTTTTGTCCTTTTGCCTTTTTGATATCCTGACATCCAAGTGTTAACATTAGAAGCAAACATTGTACCTATGTTGGGAATCGAATTCAGGACTTGAAGAGTGAACGCTCTTACTTTTAGGCTACCCCACCGTCCCTTGCTCTTTGGGTTGAGAAGAAAATGTCAACATGCCATATTTATGTGAACTAACTTTAACATTTTACTGATCTTACTTACAATTTCAATTTAACAACTACTATTGTGACTGCTGCGCTTTACCGTCGTATATTTTTCCAACTCACTGCATGGATCGACCATCTCTTTTCTTTGCAGTTTTCTGATACAGGCAAACACCTGTCGTTCTAACTAGTACACTGTTTGTAACTGACTCATTCATTCACTACTACAAAAATGAGCTGCTGAGGGTAAAGATTAAAGAAGATGCAGTTACCAAATCTACACAGTCGTCCAATATGTACACAAGTATGTCGGTGTTTTTCCCTTGGCGTTCTTTAGATGCAAACGAATTCACATAAGAGGATAAAAACACTCACCTACCAAGTCTTGACTGCCTTTTGTAGCACACATCACGAGCAAAACGTTCGCCTGTCGCTGCTCACGCTGCCGACACCCATTATCTATTATGTCAGCTGATTGTTGACGTGTTTAGTCTGTGACGTCAGTACTTGTGCGGACACAATAACCAGTGACGCGTCTGCATTGATTGACGTCACAGATGACTTCCATTGCGTTCAAGACAGTTTATGAAACTGCATACATATTGCTGGCGTTGATTCTTCTTCATTCAAAACACATTTTTGCTGATAGCACCAGCGCAGGCATCAATGGGCCAAAAAGTGTCTGACAAAACTCCACCAACTTCCCAAATCCTACTTTATGTTTCAGAACTTCACATCTCATCTAGGGACAACCATCCATGTCCTGTTACTGCACGAACAGTCGTCATAAATATCAGATCCGTGTTTCATGTATATTATACACAGTACCTAAAAAGGCTTTGAGTCCTTAATTTAACGTAGCATTGTAGGAACCCAAGCCGTTAGTGTGTTTGAGAATGTCCCCGTTCGAGGAGTTTCTCAAGGGGCTTAACTCTTAACACGAGTTTTCACTTGCTATTTATAGTTATAAGCGTCACTGATAGAAGCAATATGCACCAAGGGTTTTACAGCTTAATCCACAACATTAACATTTTGGTTTAAAGCTAAAAGATAGACTCATTAATGCAAAGATTCAACCATTATTCGCTTTTTTGTTGCATCAACAACACTTTTTTCAAAAGTGGAAAAATATGAAACTAACACAAGTGAACACATATCGTTTTATTCTTATTATTACTCAGTGTTTTGCAAAATGTCTCAACCACTCAACTAAACACATTCAGCTGTGACCATGAAAATCACAACCAAGAGGAAATGCATCTCCTTCTTACTTAATGCGTCGTTAATACTAAGATAAGCTTGGGAGGAGTACAGAGAATTAACAAAGAAACGTACACGAACAGGTTTAGGTGATCTGCTAGATGGAAGTAATTGTTACAGAAGAAGGAATCTATTTGTGATATGTTTTCAAAACAACAACTTCAAAGGGAAATATCCCCACTGCATTGGTTTTTAATCGTGTGTAAATGAAGTTTCACAAAGTAGGGCATATCAAGAACGATATGCTGGGTTTGTGATGTAAGACAAGATATCTAGATGGTCTCTGTTTTTGTGATGAGTCAGATACCACAGGGGTTCGAATCACTGTTCGGACAATAATTTTTAAAATAAACATCTAGATTTTTGCAACCGTATATTGTTTTATATGTTATGAGTTACTTTTATTTCAAATTTGAATCGGTGAAGAAATGGATTTTTAGAAAATTCTCCCCACTTCACTAATTACCTTGTGTACCTAAAGTCATCCGTATTTGGAAGTTGCTGTCATTTGTAAGCGTAGCTCTCGTTGTCACCCTAATATGGTTGTTTCGCAATGCAGTATTGTTTACTAATGTTAACCCTTATCAGCTACGCGCTTCATACAGGCAGTATGAGGGCCGTATATCAACCAAACTGGCCTGTATATTCCGCGTGTAATCTTTATCAACCTTGCACTTCCTGGCACATTCCTGGATGCCTTTCATGACGAGGGTCACGATTGTAGTTGTACACCTGTACTCTGGCGACAATATTTGGTTGTGTTTGAATTGTCTTACCTGGTAGGTTACAAATAGTCTCGGGCTACTTGCAGTGTCCCTGTATGGATCGAGGTACAACTATCCTATCGTTTCCTGTTCCCTATGCCAGTTGCAACTTGTGTGGGATTGTGTCACAGCCAGTGTGAACGTTACAGTGAGTATAATGCTGAACTTTTCCCGTAACTAACACATAATATTCTAATCTAATAATATAGGATATATGAAGTTCGACACAGTAGGAATGTCTGGAATGTGATAACATGAAACGTGTAATTATAACGCGTTATTAAATGATGATAGTTGTCTCCACACACAGTATGATATGTGCGTGTATCGTGTTTGGGGGCGTGTTTACAAATACAAGAAGTGAATAATTGGGTCGTTTTAACCGTTATGTTTTGTTTGTTTGTTGTTTAACGCCGCGCTCCGCAATATTCCAGATATACGGTGGTGACCTGTAACTAATCGAGTCTAGACTAGGCAATCCAGTGATCAAAAGCATGAGCATCAATTCTCGCAACCGCTATGTGCGAAACACAGATAACATTTCAAACATCCAGAAAGACATGTAAGTCATCTGAATGAATTGTTCATTACTGGGTTTTTTTTAATATTTGAGGTAATCTCAGCTATGTAAGTCTACAATGCATATTATATTCAAAATGTATGCCTGAATGTTCGGTTATACTTGAGGTAGTCCAGGTCTCCACCCCTATAAATATTTACAAATCAACATACATGTATGAACTCAGAATAGCAAGGGACAGATGAGCATTCCATGTCCACATGCGAGGGGCGGTGGGGTAGCCTAATGGTTAAAGCGTTGTGTGGGATTGTGTCACAGCCAGTGTGAACGTTACAGTGAGTATAATGCTGAACTTTTCCCGTAACTAACACATAATATTCTAATCTAATAATATAGGATATATGAAGTTCGACACAGTAGGAATGTCTGGAATGTGATAACATGAAACGTGTAATTATAACGCGTTATTAAATGATGATAGTTGTCTCCACACACAGTATGATATGTGCGTGTATCGTGTTTGGGGGCGTGTTTACAAATACAAGAAGTGAATAATTGGGTCGTTTTAACCGTTATGTTTTGTTTGTTTGTTGTTTAACGCCGCGCTCCGCAATATTCCAGATATACGGTGGTGACCTGTAACTAATCGAGTCTAGACTAGGCAATCCAGTGATCAAAAGCATGAGCATCAATTCTCGCAACCGCTATGTGCGAAACACAGATAACATTTCAAACATCCAGAAAGACATGTAAGTCATCTGAATGAATTGTTCATTACTGGGTTTTTTTTAATATTTGAGGTAATCTCAGCTATGTAAGTCTACAATGCATATTATATTCAAAATGTATGCCTGAATGTTCGGTTATACTTGAGGTAGTCCAGGTCTCCACCCCTATAAATATTTACAAATCAACATACATGTATGAACTCAGAATAGCAAGGGACAGATGAGCATTCCATGTCCACATGCGAGGGGCGGTGGGGTAGCCTAATGGTTAAAGCGTTCGCTCGTCACGCCGAAGACCCAGGTTCGATTCCCCACATGGGCACAAAGTGTGAAGCCCATTTCTGGTGTACCCGGCCGTGATATTGCTGGAATATTGCTAAAAGCGGCGTAAAACCCAACTCAGTCAGTATAAATGTTTTGGATGCAATGTTATCATGGTCACCCGCTCACTCAACATGCGAACTCCGTAACAGTTTGAGTGACTGACGTAATGTGCCCAATATAGGCCAGGGCCATGTTGACCTACAGATAAAGTCTCTCACACACCCACGCGCTGCAGGTAATGTGCAACGTCCTGCTACCTGGGACAAATCATATCTATTTATAGCTCAGGATTCACTCGATCATCTTGTTTAGTCTGGTTGAACCCCTAGTTTAGTCCCAAACCCTTACTTGAATCCACCCAAACCCGTAGCTTAGCCCATCCTATCTCCTAATTTACTCCACCCGTTTCGAGTATGATGCACAGGTGGTCACTTCTGACCCGGAAATCCCCGATGTTTATCCTGACCCGGACATACCCGATGTTTATCCTGGCCCGGACATACCAGTAGTATATCCTGACCCGGACATACCCGATGTTTATCCTGACCCGGACATACCAGTAGTATATCCTGACCCGGACATATACCCGATGTTTATCCTGACCCGGTTGTTTTGTTTTTTGTTTAATGCCACACTCAGTAATATTCCTGTTATATGGCGGCCGTCTGTAAATAATCTAGTCTGGACCAGACAATCCAGTGATCAACAGCATGAGCATCGATCTAAGCAATTGGGATACGATGACATGTGTAAACCAAGTCAGCGAGTCTGGGTTGTTGAAGACCAACGGGTGGTACATTAAAGACAAGCCAGCGTTCTTGTTTGGATTTTGATTGTCTGGAGTATAGGCAGACAATAGTGTGTATATTTCATTCCTATTTGCGATTCGGCCCCTGTCATAAACATATTAAGATTTATTCAGGTGTCATTTCAAAACCTGTACTGTACTGTAAGTAAGCTAATAACTCAATCCCTTTTTTTCAGAAGTTTCACCAAGCCATATAGTGCAGCCATCAATACATCATGTCTGAGTTCGACGCAGATAAGGCTGCTGTTGTCATTGACAACGGATCCGGGACGTGTAAAGCCGGCTTTGCTGGGGATGAGGCCCCACGTGCTGTGTTTCCAACAGTTGCTGGTAGACCTAAGGTCCACGTGAGTAGATACAGGGTCTGAAATTAAATCATGTTTCGTGACCCGCTTCTTTGTATCGATATTTCTAAAATAATTAGGCTTGACGTAATGCTGAGTATAAACATTCACTGATATGGTATGCAGTTTCACACTCTTCAAAAGTGACAATAATCCTTTATTTTTTTTAAACCTGTACATAATTCATCAGTGACACACATTCATATTTTTGACTGACTGATTGACTGAGTTTGGTTTGACGCCGCTTTTAGCAACATTCCAGCAATATCACGGCGGGGGACACCAGAAATGGGCTTCAAACATTGTACCCATGTGGGGAATCGAACCCGGGTCTTCGGCGTGACGAGCCAACGCTTTAACCCCGCCCATATTGTTGAACGTTCGCAGCCAGGTCGTGTGTTTAGAATAATAGTGAGTGAGTTGTATTTTGCGCCGCTGGAATATCACGGCGGGGGATACCAGAAATGGGCTTAACAAATTGTACCCATGTCTGGAATCGAACCCTTTAACCACTAGGCTATATCACCGCCCCCGTTTAAAATAATAAAGTGATAAGATATAATGTATTGCATTTGCGGTTAGAGTATTGTTAGCAGAGACCCAAAAAGAGGCCTCAGCTAAATGTATTGGGGGCATGTCACAGATGAACAACCTACTAACTTAAGATGAAACAATGAACCGATGCAAAAGCTATATGTCAGTGTTCTTAGTTAACAAACCATAGGTAAAGAGTACTGTTCTATTAAATATACATAAGTATGTTCACAACAAACCTTTTAAGAGAAAATCACCATATGTTGTCATTGGGTACATATTAACAATGTACATCACAATGGGAGCCTCATTCCCTGAAATCACTTATTATTTCATTGTTTATTATTTGCGATTGACGTACATAGTCTTAGTCACGACGTTTGACTTCTTTGATGAGCATTTTAGAAGTTGAGTTGTCATCATTCTTCAGGACGTTTGAGTTTAAAATTACCGCGCGATGTTCCTCATCCACGGAGATCCCTCCTACAGGTCTGCATGCCCCCCATGGGATCCAAGGACTGCTACATAGGGGACGAGGCACTGAGTAAGAGAGATACCCTCAATCTGAAATATCCCGTAGAGAACGGCATCATCAACAACTGGGACGACATGGAACGTGTGTGGATGCATACCTTCTACAACGAGCTGAGAGTGAAAACAGAGGAGCACCCAGTTCTTCTGACGGAGGCACCACTCAACCCCAAGTCTAACAGAGAGAAGATGGTGCAGGTAGGGGCCACGTTAAGATGAATGTGGGTGAGTGAGTGAGCTTAGTTTTACGCCGCACTCAGCAATTCCAGCTATATGGTAGCGGTCTGTTAATAATCGAGTCTGGACCAGACAATCCAGTGATCAACAGCATTAGCATCGATCTACACAGTTGGGGTACGATGACATGTGTCAACCAAGTCAGCGAGCCTCACCACCCGATCCCGTTAGTCGCCTCTGACGACATTGGTTACTAAACATCAAAGACTTCACAAGGGGGAGGCATTGTTTCAACCATATGCGTCAGATGCATCATATACAGTGGTGTACACTGGCATCAAACAGGTAAATACAGTTACCATTATTGAGATTCAAGGGTTTACCTCTACCAAACAACAACACCGCACACCCTTCCGAGTTACGCCCACAAACACCTGGTGATGTCGAGGCAGAATGGACCCCAGTACCCTAAGATTAAATCTTCTTATAAATGCAGTTCGTGTAGTTACAAGACATTTCTTTCACCGACTGCATGAAATGGTGTTCATGATGTCAATCACGGGTCTGCAGTGACCGGAGTTTTCACAGTACTCCTCGATGCAGCTGGAATATTCAACATTCACGGCATTTCAGGATCGTGAAAATGGCTACTTGTAACACAATGTTGTCGACGTATCCCGTTTTAAGGAAGAAATAATCATATACTATAAGATGTATGCTTCTGTCGAGGGATGACACTGCTACAAAAAGGCGTACATCAGATCGCATTTTCCGAGGGAGAAGCATACAACGTATTTATTATACAGCCATGTTATATGTACAAAATATCATTTTATTTTATTTTGAAGATTGCTACCGACTATATGACATGTAAACAAAATGGCGTCTGCCTCTCGACTGTATATTAAAAATCAGTGAAACATATTCTGACAAGTTTAAACTGCTATAACAATGCTTAATTATGTTTAAGTTGAGTGTGCAAACGATTCAATGTATAAAATAGTTTAAATAAAGCAGTGAAAGTCGGTGAAATAAATCTGTACATAGTGAACTCAAAAACAGCTAATGGAACGGTTTTCGAACTCCGGGCACTGCATGCGTCATATTATTACGTCATACGATTGTTAGCGATACAGCTTCTCGGTGGAGAGTTTGGCGGTTACCGTGGCAGGGGTAATATTTTTTTCCAATTGTCACCCTCCTGGGAGGGGTGACACTGAAACTTGATAAAGCGTCATTGACCAAAGTATTTTACATGAAGGTAAGATAAATGTAGGTATATCAGATATAGAACCATGTTTTCACATTAAGTAAGTAAGGTTTTACGCCGCTTTTAGCAATATTGCAGCAATATCACAAGGAACACCAGAAATGGGCTTCACACATTGTGAAGGAATCAAACCCGGGTCTTCAGCGTGGCGAGCGAACGCTTTAACCACTGGGCTACCCCAGCGCCCCCATTACTAAGTGATATCTCGATTGTGTAACTCATGCTTGTTTCCTCACTACAGATCATGTTTGAGACATTCAACACTCCCGCCTTCTATGTCAGCATCCAGGCGGTGTTGTCGCTGTACGCCTCGGGGAGAACCACTGGCGTCGTCCTCGACTCGGGAGATGGCGTCTCGCACGTCGTGCCCATATATGAAGGTGAGACAAAACCGTGTATTTCAAAATAGACTTCAAAGTGTTATTTCATATTCTCAAGGTTTGAAGTTCCACATAACACGTTCTTCTGTCAGTGACACGATACTTATTGTATAACCTGATTTCTGATCATCTCAGGCTACGCCCTGCCCCACGCTGTTCAGAGAATGGACCTGGCTGGTCGTCACCTGACCTCCTACCTCAACAGGATTCTACACGAGAGAGGATACAACTTTACTACACCTTGTGAGTGGTCGCTCTTCATCTCGAAACAGTCCACACTTGTCTGAGTATTACCCACATTCCACTCATCAAGTTCCCATTTCATATACTGATATCTACGACAGGTTTTACTGAACACCATATAAATTGAAATGTCGTGGTTGCAGCTGAGATCGAGATAGTGCGAGACATCAAGGAGAAGCTCTGCTATGTTGCTCAGAACTTCGAGTCAGAGATGGTGTCAAATGCACAGTCCAGCGCCATTGAGAAAGGATACGAGTTGCCGGACGGGTCTGTGATAACTATCGGCAATGAGAGGTTCCGAGCTCCGGAGTGTCTGTTCCAGCCGAGCTTTATGGGTAAGTGTTACAGGACACTTTCTAAAATAACGGATAATTCAAATCTTATGAAACTGTTGTAATCTTGTATTTTATCAATAAAAATACATAGTGATAGAACCCTTATGAATTCAGGCGATGATCGATATTGTAAAGTGTTGAAGGACATTACCAGTGGTAATGCTGATTGTGTTCACTACATGATACATATGTGTGACCCGTGAAAAATCCGGGTTAGAATTGATCGTCAGTAACCCATGCTTATCGTAAGGGGCGACTAACGGGTTCGGGTGGTCAGGGTGGCTGACTTGGTTGACACATGTCATCGTATCCCAATTGCGTAGATAGATACTCATGCTGTTCATCACTGGATTGTCTGGTCAAGACTCGATTATTTACAGACCGCCGCCATATAGCTGGAATATTGCTGAGTGCGACGTAAAAAAAAACTCACTCACTGATGCATATGTATGTAGAGGTAAAAAAATGTCCGAGAAGCGTGCTGGGATTTGGACCACGGACCTTCTGATCCGCAGTCGGACGCCTTGTCCACATGACCAAAGATGTTAACCGCGACAGCACGCTAACAAGGTGAGGATGTCATCTGTGGGATGACTCCGCCCCCTGCTACATGTAGACTTGATGTTGAACCATGATATATAATGAACTGTAATATATGATTACAACCCCTTCACTCGTACATCCTTTCTCTCTCCAGGTATGGAGAGTTCAGGCGTCCACGAGATGGTCAAAAGCTCGGTGGAAAACTGTGACATTGACATCTGGGATGATCTGTACAACAACGTGATTCTGTCAGGGGGGTCAACAATGTATCCAGGTGAGCTGTTGCTCCAGCTGCCAAGACATCAGCCATGGTTTCATAAATGTCTCATTTTCACGCCTTCGCTATTTTTACCCCATATGTAATGTGCTCCTTGCTCTTTCTTTGACCCTTGTTGTTCGGTTGTTGTTTGTTGTTCAACATGACGGTGGTCTGTTCGTAATTGAATCTAAACCAGACAATCCAGTGACTGACAGCTCATAGGCGGGTGGAGGAGGGGGGTGTTGGTGTTGTAACAGGGGCGCAACCCCCCCCACCCCATCCCTTTTTTCTGAAAGTTTATGAAATGACCATTGAAACTCTCATGAAAACTGTGTACACACACACACACACCCTTCCCCTTTCTGAACTTTGCACCCCTCCTTTCTCAAAAAGCTGTATCCGCCCCTGCAGCTGTAGCTGCCAAGGCAATAGCCGTGTCTAGGATTAGCCATGGTTATTGACTGTGTTATTTTCTGTTTATTCACTCTCTTGGCACTGCATGTCCCTTGTTCTTGACTTAGTTTGTTTGTTAACGCAATGTTCTAGCTATATGTCGGCGGTCTGTTCATTACTTGACCTTGAGCACACAATCCAGTGGTTGACATCATGCCCATCGTTCAAATCAGATGGCATGCATCAATCGAATCAGCAATCTCACAGCGTTGTACATAAAGTTAAACATTCATAGTGACATGTCATCACTGACTGGACACATGTTTGTACAATTGTCTTTAGAAATTGACTGCTGACCAGCATGCTTCTTTGCAGGCAGGAATCGCCTGAACATTCTTTAACCCCATTACCGATCAGTATCAGTAAATGTATTTCACATCTTCTTACTGTATATTGTTCTTGTTTATGAGTGTCAGATTTTGTGCAAATGACAACGTCCATATTCCATCTCCACAGGTCTGCCAGAACGAATGGTAAAGGAACTGTGTGCCATACCGTCTGCAATCAAGGTCAAGGTTATTTCTCCACCTGAGCGGAAGGACTCGGTGTGGATCGGAGGCTCCATCTTGGCCTCGCTTTCAACCTTTAAACAGTTGTGGATATCCAAGGAGGAGTATGATGAACGTGGACCTGTCCTTGTTCACAGGAAGTGTTTCTGAGCGCCACGTTGTGACAGGCAGTTGGCAATGGAACTTAAACGGGAGGCATTTTCACAGCATAAGCACATTGCAATTCACGTTGCAAATGAAATCTTAAACCACGAGTCAACAGAGAATACTACATACATAAGTGTTTATTCGGACTCGAAATTCTCGGACTGCGATATTGGTGGATTGGATTACATGTTTGTTCTGTTGGTAGAGAACATCGTGCACTATAATGAACCCTATAGTCTATTTGCAGTGGAAACGTATCGATGAGTTTCACTTTAAACAAAAAAGTAAATCACATAAAGTGAAATTAAGATTGCGAATCCTCATAATTTTACCTTGACAATTGAACATTTAAATTTCACAATTTTATTCAACGTAGGATAAAAGTTGTTTAACAAACGATCATAGTTTCAAATCGTTATTATTGGTTTGTATTACAATTTCACTTTTTGTAAGTTACTTTTTTGTTGAAAGTGAAACTTGTCGGTACATTTTCACTTCAAACAGACTATAAACATTACTATGCCGTATAAAAGGCGCCATACCTTACATAATTATGAAAGGGCACTGATGTATATAATCTGCATATACCATAATTATATTTATCGATCCATCTGTACAACATATCACATATACATATATATACATATCACATGTTATGAATCACCTGTACATATCACTCATCTATCAACAATGTTTATAGGTTTTGTGACTTGAATAAATGTTTCAGTCGGATTTGTTTTGTCCTTTTGCCTTTTTATATCTCAATTCTTTTTTTAGTAAATCATTTCCTCTTGACATCAAACACCCGGTGTCACCATGATTGGAACACTTATCCGGTTATGCCACGCCCACAATATTAAAGTCAGTCCCTGTCCTTGCATCCTCGATAATCTCCAGGGTATACGTTACGATCACTCTCCACTATACCTTGGATGCATCCACGGCTAGGCCCGATGATTTTATTACCTCCCTTTGCTGGCTTTTTATCCAATCAGGTGTCTACGATGGGAAGTTGAGCGAACCAATGACAACTCACTTTCGCTTCTTAAATTATCTAACCGTTTAAACTTGGCAACACAATTGATGCAGAGGTACTCTGAAAGAGGTAGAAGGAGTTCTTTCATATATTTTTTTAAAGTTTCAGATCTGTCAATTTGTCTGTATGATTTCCCAAAAAAATATGAGTGGCACTGCGAACAAACCTTCACGACTGCGACCTCTATCTTTGTTGACACTGGCAAGCTCGGCTGTAACGGCGGCTTAGCTGATTGGCTACTGTGAGAATGTGGAGCCAGCAAAGGGAGGTAATATAAGTATCGGGCCAAGCCGTGGATGCATCCAGGATATAGTGGAGAGTGATCGTAACATATACCCTGGAGATTATCGAGGATGCTGTCCTTGTAACACTCTCTCTTTAAGGCCATCGTGATTTCACTCTCCAAGTAACTGTTATTCTAAAATGTAAGAAATAGCAAACAAATCACAATATGACATAATCCATACTTTTTTAATTTGCCAAAAAAACAATTCTCAGAATTATTTAAATATAATACAAAATGTTGCAATGTAGGGACATCGGCTAGCCTTAAACAAATATTTGTCATGGCACAGTTTGGACACGCTCTGAATTCTTGTTATGTTATTATTTGAAAAAGAACCTTATATCTTTGAGGATAATACTGTTCAGTGTCCTGTCATCAAGCTTGAAAGTGAAAACAGAAACGTGTAAGGCAAGAATCATACCAGGAATATAATCGATTCCAACTTAATGATGTATGAACAAACTAAAAGCACGTTGTTTTTCAAACGGGCGGTGGGGTAGGCAAGTGCTTTAAGCGTTAGCTCGTCTCGCTGAAGACCTGGGTTCGATTCCCCACAAGGGTACAATGTGTGAAGCCCATTTCCGGTTTTTCCTGCCGTGATATTGCAGGAATATTGCTAAACGCGGCTTAAAACGTAACTGACTCACTCACTGATTTTCAAAACGTGTAACCAAGCCCTTCACTGAATAATAAGTGCAGATGATTTCACATCAAACGTAAAGGCGCGTAAAAGTGTCAAACTCTGTCCCTGTCGCTCCAAAACCCTGTTTGTGTAACAGTCCATAGGCAACATGTGCGACGACCGCGAATACAGCGGATGGGCTGATTCTCTTAAACGTCAGATGATTGTTGACGTAATTTGTCTATGACGTCAGTGCTTAGAGAGACACAAAATGATGACGTAGCATTTGTGTTGACGTCATAGATTTCTACTTGGCGACATCGACTCCCCATGAGCAGAGCCCAGTCTAGAGTATCAACTAGTCTCTGAAATAAACATATTTTACAGAATAAAAACAGTTCATAATATAAAAAAAACCCATAAATTATAATGAAATGAGACTTTCTTCATTTTCAGAAACTATGGAAATCTAGACTTGCCGCATAATCAAGACTTGCATGGGCTACATTGGGTATGTTTGTTTCAGGGTCTGTATGATAGACTAAGTCCAGTCGCTCTTGTCGCTTTGGCACAAGTTGACGTGGCCAAAGACGTATATTCAAGAGTCAAAGGGAGCCGGGAACCAATTTTCCACTCTATGGCGAATATGCATTCTTCTTGGCCGTTTAAAGGACGTGTTTCAAAACTGTACAAAAATTGGGGGCACGTTGCCTTGTCAAAGCGATCCCTGCTTATGTCCTGGGAGAGTCAGACAGATATGGCCCCATTAGCAAACCCATTAAGATGCTACCTATCAGACAATTAACCACCAAGTCAGAAAAATTATAACCAGGGATCCGAGAAATATGTCTGTCACTATATGAGTGAGCGAGATTAGTTTTACACCGGACTCAACAATATTCCAGCTATATTGCGGCGCTCTGTAAATAATCTGGACCAGACAATCCAGTGATCAACAGCATGAGCATCGATCTACGCAATTGGGATGCGATGACATGTATCAAACAAGTCGCCTCTTACGACAAGCATGGGTTACTGAAGAGCAGTACTAACCCGGATATCCACGGGACACGTCACTATATATACAGACCCGCGCAAAAAGTATTCGGACACATGACGTAATTTCCATAGACTTACATGTTATTTCAGTGTAGCATAAATAATTTTCATGAAGTGAGTTTAAGATAGATCTTTGTAAAGTTTGATAGGCAACTTTGAAATCATCTCTGCTCTGCGCACATAGTTTCAGTTCAATTTTCCGCCCATTATTTAACTAATGACATCACATTTATCAACTTACGTATTGTTCCACAATGCCCTATCCCGTAGGCCGCCATGTTCAAGGCGTTCACGGCACTGTACACATGATGAATAAATTGTTGCCATTCGATAAATAAGCAACGGAAAATTAAATAGAAATTATGCAATTGTAGGTGAGATGATTCCTCACAAATGTGCAAAATTTGACTTGGATCTTACGAAAATTAAATTCATGAAAATGACTTTTGCTACACTAAATTAACATGTTAGTCTATGGAAATTACGTCAAGTGTCCGAATACTTTTTGCACGACTCTGTAACTTTTACAAAGTGGTCAAATGTAACATATGTTATACACTCGCGTAACCTTGATTCGTGGATATAAGGGAAGTGCGGCGAAATTCATATATTAATTGCATGATTTCATTTTGTATACGCACTGATTATTTTATTCATTGATTCAGCAAATTGAAAATGCCTAATATTCCACTCGTGAATAAAACGTTTGTTTACGGAAGCCATTTACAATCATCACCCATTCGTGTGCCCATAAAATGTGACGTCACCTTGTTTCCAGGATTACATAGTCGGTTACTTTATACCACTATTTATTACCCACGTGATCAACGTATGGGTAGTTGCATACTAATCTCGTACGTCACACGAGTGTCGTATCGCGGTGACCTGTGTCGTAACGACTTGACTTGAGATTCTAACGATTTGATTGGATAACCGATGACCTCTCAATTAGGTCACATTCTGACGTAACTATTTTTTTCATTCATAACAAACACTTGAATTCATTCATTCTACAACTTAAATGCATTGTGGGAATGTTTTCCCATGTTTTCGCTTTCGCTCGGTCAGATACCATAGGAAGGACACTCGTTTCGTATAATTCCTATGTAATGAGACCTCGTATAGTATTCTCTATGTACGACCAGGAGACTCTGTAAGGTCCCTGGTACGACATCCCACTGCAGTAGGTATTGACACCAAGGAAAGCAGACCACGAGAAGTGAGAAGGATGGAGCAAACGGTATATTTTTACTTGACATTTTGTAAAAATAAAATTTGGTAATGGTAGAATTAGTGATCTGGGGCTATTTACCTCAGTGCTGGACAATTATATCTAGTGTACTTGCGTGTAATGCAGAGATTCGGAACTTTTTTGTCAGCGAGGCGTGGCATTGTATGTACATCAAAAGTACCGCTTCGTGACGTCAGTCGAGACTTAATTTACGAGCTAGTATGATAATTTCCGCTATCCATGAATCAAGGTTATCCACGAATTTAGGTTACGGTTCTGTAATTGGGATTACACTTTCTCAGTAAAGTACAGAAGTCTGACAATTAGTGGTCTGGGGCAGGTACTTTGTGCAATATTCTGACGAAATTACGGATGCCGCTGTGACTGAGTGGGATCGCTGGCGCATGGCACCAATAATACCGTATTACCTCTTTGTTTTTTTCAACGGACTTCCAGACCCGGCGCTTATTAGAGGCCCGGTGCTTTTTTGCGCTTGCTGGGTGACAGTGGGTGTACTGTGCTTATAGACTAACAACTAGTCTCTGAAATGAACATATTTTACTGAAAAAAGTTCATAGTAAAAAAAAAATATAATGAAAAGGAGCCCTGAGACTTTCTTCATTCTCTACGTGATTGGTCTAGGATGACATGTATCAACCAAGTCAGCGTGCCAAGCCATGCACCCTATATAGTTAGTCGCCTGTTCGACAAGCACGAGTGGCTAAAAAAACGTTTTAACTGGGATCATAGTGGATCTAGTGGCATACAGGGTATACCGATGATGATGATGATGATGGATCACCCCCTGGAACCACTGTCCTGCAGAGTGCAGTGATAGGGTGACTGTCCGCCTGCGCTTGCAGTGATCGCGTGCTTGTCTTGGCAGTGAATGTAAGTTCTCTGTTAAAAATCTAGTCACCATTTCTGAAAGACGAACAATATCATTTGTGAAAGACGAACAATATCATTTAAATATTAACATTTCACGAATGCAAAGGTTTTGATGGTTTTTTGTAGAAAGTTTTAAGTTGCTAGGTTAAACATGAAAAAAGCAATCAGCGATTATCGGCAGAACATACATTTTCACGTAGACAATAATAGTTTATTTGAAATATAATTTCATTTTTCTTATGAATGATATACACAG